AGGAAAATACAAGAGACAAGAAAAAGGTAAGGGCGCAAGCACCAACACCAAAAGAACAGAAAGCCACACGAAACTTTGGAAAACGGCATTAAAAACCATGGCAAAACATCCAAACAATCAACTTTTCTTTGTTCTGCCGCACAACAAGTTTAAGTCTCATCCTTAAAGTTTCGTTTGAATGGCATCAAATTAGACGAAATCAAACATCATGTCGTAAGAGCGGAAAGGATTTGCTTCAAGTTCCAAGATTAGGGTGTTCGGATCTTCTTAACAGTGCTATTAGCCGCGTTTTGGAGCCCGGACCGAGCGAGGAGAAGGACTCTCCCTGTGAACAAAACAGTCAGAGACGTGTTGCTGTTTTCATGCGTAAGTGCTGATCTGGCACCGCTGTGCGTTATCTTCCGAGACAACACGTTACTTCTGGAGATAGAAAAACGTTTGAATTGCTCTCTTATGAAAGAGAAAGATCTGTTCCAACGTGGCTGTTCTTAATTGTCGAGGCGTCATGATGGCATGTTTTTTTTTTGCCTGCACCGACTGTACGGAACTGGGTGGGCGGTCTTTGCTTGCAGGTCTGCCGTCCTTCGTGAAGGACTTTCAAGTGCAGTCTACCTCCAGGGGATTGGAGCACCTCGCACGCCGACACCATCGCAACCTCTTTATGGAACCGAAACATTTGCGGGCGTACACCTCATTTTTCTCGGGATGGCAGTGTCGGATGGATTTTAACCTCTTTTTTACAGACTTAGCTTCTCCGGAGTGGATTCGGACTGCTGAGCAACGGAACCAACAACGCACAGCGCCGCCGCAGTTGTGATCTTATCAACATCCAAACAAGGCGCTCTAGCATGTGAAATGTGTTTTTTGCGGTTCTACATTTGGGGCAGTAATGCCACGTTGAAATCACATCTCGTCTTTTCGAAATTGGCAAGTGACCACAGTTCCAATGTTGCTCAAAAGTTCTAAATGAAAGTCAGAAATTTTTTGGGACATAGATGTTTTTTCTTTTACGGAACACAGAAACCAAACCAAAGATTTTTTCATTTCTTTGAGCGGCACAAAGGACGTTTGCACAAAGAGTCTCCAGCTAAGGTCCTGAAAGCTCTCAGGGAACTTGAAAAGAGGAGTTTCTTCTCAAGCTTTCTGAAGAAGAAAACTTCTCATAGGTCAAAAAGAGCTTGAGAAGGGAAGTGTCGAAACTTTGTGTTTGAACGTTGTTGCGGATGGTCTGTATTGTGACAATTAGAATCACCTAAGAGTGCATCGGCTCGATTTTCTAACAATCTCTGTTGTTGCGAGCTCTACGAATCTGTTCCAAAAGGACTGTCTGGCTGTCTAGCTAAATTCCGCCTCGATGACCACGAAGCACGCTGAGGTTGGCCTGCAGAGACGAACTTACTTGTTGGTTTTCTGGATGATAGGTTTGCCAACGAATTGCGAGGCTGAGTAGAGCAAGTTTGACGCCGGCAAAGCCGCGCGTTCAAGTAAACTCTGGTTCTTGCTTAAACAGAGCATGAGCAATAGAGATCACGCAGAAGGAAGCAAAGCGCTGGATACGAGTTCTGGTGCATGCTCAAAAAGGTGCTTTCGGTGCTCGAGGGTGGAAGAGCAAGCTTTGAGAGAGCAGCTCTCAATTTGCATCCCTCTAAGTACCTGAAGCGCCCTCTTGACGTGATGAGGTGGACATAACAGAGATCATGAAGTTTGAGAGCCANNTTAAGATCCATGAGCAGGAAGCAGTTTCAAGCACCTTGACAAGGATACCAAGCGGCACGGTAGGGATGGATCTCTCCTAAATGCTGGCTACGAGTCTGGAGCTTAAAGGTTTTAGGGTTGTTCCTTCGAGGCGGTTTGGGATTTCCGAGTGGGCTGTAATGATTTTGCAATCTTGGTCTTGGACCTAGAAGCCACTTTGCTAGCGGCGGCGTTACAGAATGTTGCGGGTAGAAGAGCACGTGACACTTCCAAAAGGGTGTGTGGGGGTTCTCTTGCTTTTTGCGTTAGATTGGGTGGGTGTCAAAGCGCTGCATTTATTTGGGTTGCCACTGCAAACACCAAGTCTTGATTTGTCTTAGAGTTTGTTGTTTTGCTAAAAAAATCTGCATGGCCTGGATTCGATACCATCTACAGCTTTCCACTGTTTTCTATCGTTGCTCAGAGCCTACGTTCTGCTCAGTTTTTCGTTGCCGCGAAAAATGCTTTGTCTGTTTCTGTCCGCGGTTTGGACTGCACCCGAGAAGCCCTGTTTCCAAGATCCCTTGATATTCCAGAATGCCATTGCTAATAGTTCGAGATGTCTTTCGAATTCCTGAAAGTTTAAATGTTGCAGCTCACGACCCAGTACCCACAAGAGCAGGCACAGATCTTGGTTCAGAACACCGCAAAATTTTGTGTTCCATTACAACACGAAAGTATCAAATTTCAGGGTCAAGCCATTGGGTTGACTTGATGCTTGAAACACATCGTTTGACGACGGTACAGAATGAAGAACTAAATCACGGATGATAGAGCAAGTCTACACAGGTTTGTCCACATCATTTCGCCGCGTTTTCCTGGTCAAGCTACAGTGGTAGCTGTGTTTTGGGAGCTCATTCCTCCCAATGCATGCTTAGTCGTTAATGGTTGGTTATTGCAGGAAGACTCAGGCATGAGTTCTATTCCGTAATCGTAATGGAGACATATGCGGTGTGCAGCAGTTCGGTGTTTCGACATTGCACGAAAGGGTGACAGGCTGTCAGCCGGAGCTCGCCCCAGAATGGCGTGAAATTTGCCCATGGTTCCAGCAGGTTGCCTTGACATGCAGCTGGTCGAGTAAACGAAGCTCCAACAGCGAGTCAATATTCACAGATGGTACGACAGCCAGGAATGGAGCAGTAAAACAGCTGTGAAAGCTCCAAAGTTAATTTTTCATACCAGCTGTCAGGGTCTGAAGACTTCATTTTGAGTCCATGCAGCCATCCGTTCCGCAGCAGTCATTGGGCAGCACGCGAAGCAACTGTTGGTTGGGCGTCGTCGTCATGCTATTCCGTCGCTGAACTCACTACATTAAGCTTGAAACGCTGATCAGCACTTGTGTTCTTGTTCTTAGTGAACTCCGGTATGATAGTATGAAGTACCGCTTAAATGTAAATTTATTTCTGTCTCAGCATCTCCTGACGACAGACCAGATGTCATCCGACCCCGACGTCTAGAAGTATGTTTTTGACTAAGTGGGCTCGCTTGCGCAGCAACAGCGTAGGCCACTAAGAACTTGGTGTTGAGACATATGCTTTTGACCCGAAGCTATGACACACGAGAGGCTTTCAGATCAAATGCCCCCAACCGCAATTCGGAACCCAAAGTCCTAAATGCGAAACCCTTACCCTTGAAACGTTGGATTTGCGTGCAGGCTTCGTGGCCAGCTTGTGTCTGATCCGAGCCCATCTTTCTTGGGCACTTCGCGATGTGAGCTCTGAGCGCCACCCTCAGGTGGTGGCAAGTCTTTAATCTGCCTTGACCGGACGGGAAGGGATGAAGAGAAGGATAGTGTGCATGATGATAGTCAGACAGTCGTTGTCTGCGGCACGGCTTTTCTATGTTTTTTTGTCGTAATGGTACCGTTTGCTGATCAACCTGATTCAGTTTGTCGCTGTTGACCCGTATCAGTCATTACTACTGTTCATCAGTGCTACAGGAGGCATATGATCCTTACCATGTCCGTGTTCCTTTTAATTCCTGATCACTGCATGGCGGTATCAGAACATCGCAGCTCATCAGCACTACGCAGGCTGGCACAGGAAAGCAGTTCTATACAAGAAATTTGTGGTGAAGCAGCAATTGCCAACCCTAAAACTCGACTTGCAAACGAACCAGACCATAGACCGTGGAGAGTGGAACAAAGGAGAACGAGCAGGAAGCCATCAGCGAAACAATGAAATATCCTTACCATGGAGAGGAAGCACGGTCCAGCGAGAAAAGAAAGAAGCATCTGAAACAGAGAATGTGAGAAGAACTCAGCAAGCAAAAAGAAAGAAGCAGCTGCGACGGAGAGCCAGAGAAGTCCAGAAGCCATTGCAGATGCAGCGGAGTCTCGGGAACTCAAGCCCAGCATCCGCTTGCTCAGCCTGGTCAACGCATGGTTTCGCGATCCAGCAAAGCCATGCATCAAACAAACTGCTTATGGAATCATCGAAGTGAGCATTTGAGTGGGGCTTTGTGTAACATTCTGCCTAATCCACACGAGCCAATATTGCATTTTTATTGGGTTCAATAGCAACGGGCCTGTGCCCCGGTGTTCAACACAGCCTCCCCTAAAATCCTGGACTCATCGAGCCCTGGACTTCAAGCCTCAGCCCTAAACGAACCTGAAACTGAAAGGTTGAACCCTGGCAAGCCCAATGACCACACCGTTTGGAACAAGAAAGAATTTTTCTGGAAGTAGGGTGCCACCGGCCCGGCTAGTTGCTTTAATGTCTCAGCAGGTTTTGTGTTGGTTGAACTGGTTGTTCTTCCAATTTAGAAGCGAGGAGGCCCCACGGCGGGCTTGGGGTCTGAGATGTCTGCAAGTTTTTGCAGAAATTCACTCTTGTATGCACTTGCTTGCGTTTCCACCTGTTCCCACGTTGTTGCATTTCGTTTCTGGAACGGACTTGATCTTAGACGGACTTATTTGACACCAGTACTGCCACCAGCAATGCCAGTCCTGCTATGGTTCCTCTTGCTTACCTCTGCCCGTCCTATCACGACAATGGCTGCTCCTGCTACTACTATTTCTGCTGCTACTACTTCTACTTCTACTTCTACTTCTACTACTACTACTACTACTACTACTACTAAACTACTACTAAACTACTAGTACTACTAGTACTACTACTACTACTACTACTACTACTACTACTACTACTACTACTACTACGTTGGTTGTGGTGCCGGTGCGTTGTAGGCACCTGTACCCTGCACACTCGCCGCCGCTTTCTTGTGAGCTGTCCTCTCTTTGCCAAGGCTCGAGCACGACGTCTTAGTCGTGAATGGCTTCACCCAAGAGGGCCCCTCGAAGCGCTCCAGGCTCGGCGGGCTCGATGGGGTCGGGGATTCATTTGTGGGTTTCTGAAGGGCAAAGTTCAACGGATCTGCCCCGTAGCCCGAAAGCTTCGCAAGCTTCAGCGGGCCCCTGCGTTTGCCTGCTTCAGCACAGGGGTTAGTTCAGCAACCCCCGAATCCAACACTACATCCGCGTGCTTTCAGGAACGTCTCACAAGCAGCGACGTCCATCGGCGTTGGCAGCTTGACTGCGTTTGGAGCTTGCCATTGCTGCGTCTTGAGAGATCAGGTTACGTGGTCCCGCAACAAAACTTGCTCAACTTGAGACCACCGAAATTGACATCTTTGCTCAGGGTCTGGGCACGGAATGAGATCATGAAGGGCAGCGGAGGGCTGTTTAAGGCAAGTGTCTCCAAAAGAAGCAAGCAACCGAATCGCTCTTCATCGTCCATGGTAGCAGCAGTCAGCAATAGTCTGGCTCTGTAATGATGTATTTGCATGTAGGTGTGTACAGCTGCCGGTTTCGCTCTCACTGCCGCTGCTTCACCCCCGACGGTTCATGCTGATTTAATATAATGTTCCTCATTCGGAATCATGACATGTGATTGTTTCTGGGAGGATGGCTATGCTTGGTGTTGTTAGTTTGTTAGTGTCAATACAAGCCTAGATGCCTAGATTGACCATGGGGAATTATTGCCATTTTCGCTGTTGTGCGGACCAGAGAGCGATGGATAGTACAATTACTACAGCCGTAGTAGCTTGGAAGCAGTACTAAGCACATGTGAACTCGCATGCATTTATGTCCGGAAGTCGCGAGTGGAGGGACCAGCCTCTGTCCCCGGGATTGTAGTTGCAAGTCTGTTTGTGAGTGGGACTGCTGGACTGCTGCTGCTGCTGTTGTCATTCCGTCTACCGCGGTGTGATGCTCCTGGTACGAACGCGGATGCTTCTCATTCGTTCCATCTCCAGTTGTGCAACCGAGCACTTGTTGCTCAGGAAGCCATCCGCCAGAACAAGCAAGCAGGCGCGAATCCTCCTGCATAGCCCCAAGCAAGGCACATGAGACACATGCCGATACCAGTAGCAAGGATTTTCTCGGCTCCTGGTCTTTCTTTTTGTTACTTCTCCAGCTTCGGATCTCTTGGAATCGTGAGCGTTTGGCAGAGAACGCGCGGAATCTCATGCTCACGGATCGGATTACTAGTGTGCTCAGCAACAAGAAAATTTGCAACCCGGGAGACTCCTTTTTTTTTGAGACTTCAGTCCTGACCATGACCATCGCGACCGTCGGCTTGGCTGTTTCGGCACGGGCTATGCAAAGCCGACAGAGAATCTCCCTGCTGTGTCACTTCTATGATATTTCCACTGGCGTTTTGTCGATCGAGATGGGAAGTGCAAACTGCGGCCCTGCGAGAAAACCCAATCTCAATTTTCGGCCCTCATGTCCAGTCCATTTGGCGACCTCGGATGCCGTACACTGCAAGTCCGAAAAGCGTCATAGCTCTGACATGCAGGACTGCGCTGCATACGGAGCCCGCGCTTCACAGCAAGGTGGGTGCTGTGCAAGTGTCTGGAGGTTGAATGCTGGGTTAGTCGGGAGGGCTTTTTTGTGGAGTCGTCGGATTCTGGGATACGGTCCGGTCCAGGCATCCGAACGGATGCAACAATCGTCTTTCCAAAAAGATCCCGCATGAAACACTTGCGCTTTCAAGTAGCTGGGTGCTTCGACACTGGTGGCAGGTCAAGATTGTGTGCCACATCCCAGATTTCCTGCCGATCCTCCGTGTGTTCTCTTCTTGACGCCTGACCCGAGACCTCCCTCCCCACGCACACACTCTCGCTCTCTTTGTCATTTGTTGGCTACTAGGTTACTAGGTGGTCAACGGGAATCAAGACTTATTGCCTTCAGTGTTGCTGGAAGGTGCTCGTAGATCTGCGATGTGCCGGTGCTTATGTGAAAGCCGGCACAGCGCGAAGCCTCTGCAAAGAGCCTACGTACTAGTACGATCCCTGCCAGGGAACGGGTTATAGCGTCTTCCTATGGGATCGGAAGTGCTTCCTTCCATTTTGCAGGATGGGTCCTCTACGTGCGGCATGGACAAGTCAGGCTACAGTGAGAGCCTTGGATTTCTTTGGACCTCGGTTCAGACGAGGACGTCGCGGGCCCTTGTCATTGTTGCAAAGCCCAGCTTTAGAAAGACCCTAGGCGTGGTTGAACTTCGCCGAGCCATAAGCCTCGCAAACGCGACGCAGGCAGTGGCTGCAAGATTGCCGGATGCACTTGCTCTGTCTTCCAGCCTGCTGCCCAAGAGCTTTCTTCGGCTATTGGCTTGGTTTGAGACGTGCTGATTGGTGTTGTTGCATTTCGTGAGGATAGGGGCCAATTTGGATTTGGGCAGAGCTTTCCGGAACTCCCCGCTGAAGTCCGGGTAGTGACCGACAGTGAGCTTGATGACCTTAGCGGCTGCGGCTGTGTCTACTTTTGCCCCACGGTGACTCCCGGCCCAGGCACTGCTACCCGAAGTTTGAACAGGAGGCGCCGATGCTTAAGTTCTTACCATCTTTCGAAATGTAAGGGGAACTGCAGAAGTTGGGTTCCAGCAAGAGCCGTTCCGAGAATCTTTGTGCTCGTCTGCAAAACCCTTCAGGAATTGACCTGAAGGACCTCGCTAATGGCATCGGCATGCTTCGGAGATGTTTCGGTATTATCAAGAGGGGACATCGGGCAGAACTCCTTTGCAGCTACGTCGGTGAGCTTCGGGTTCGGAATTTTCGCGTTGGGCTCTTTTGGTGCAACCTGGCCCGCCCACATCTCAAACCTTCAAGCCGTAGCCCCAAATCTTGGCCCGCCCACCTGAACCCAAAGTCTATGTCCAGGAGGGGAAGGATCAAAACGTGGGTGTTTGCGGCCTGGCGGCGCGAGACCCAGGATCCTCGTGGCAATTTGGGTTTCCCGGGACGTTCTATGTCTCTGTTTAGTTTCGGTCGAGTGCTTGACGACCACGACGGCGCCTGCGACGAAGGCCCAAAAGACTGTAACAAGAATCTCCTGCAGCTGCTGCTGCTGCTGCTGCCGGGTGGTGATGCTGCTTTCATGCAGATAGTGGTATCAGTACTGCTGGTCATGTCATGCTTGTCAGAAACCGCGGAAAATACACGGAAACTTCTGCATTCCAGTCTCCCACCAAAAAGCAGAAAATCTGGCACGAGCCCCCCGCGCCAAGATGTGGCTCATGTCCTTCCTTTCTGCCGTGCTGTTTGGTGCAGTAGCCCGGTGCCCTGAGGAAGGGAGCTTCAGGGGTGTGTTTCGGCTCCCTTGAGGGGTTTGGGATCTCTTTCCGTACGGTTTGGGTGACAAGTTCAGGCATTCTGGGTTGTTGGTTCAGACTTCAGGTCTTAAGAGCTTAGGGCTCACAGGGTAGGAAGGGGGACACGTGCTTTCAAATTTCGGGCCCGCGGAGGGTCGAAGTTGGGGGGATGGCTGAACCGCAAGAATCACGCATAATCACGCTGACAGGTTGCCTGAACAGTAAATCTTTGGTTCGGCCTGTGGTTTGTAGCCAGTTGCAAGCACATTTCCCCACAGAGAGCTTGTGGTCTCATCCGTGAGTCATGTAGCTGTGCGAGCAGAGAGCCACAAGCAACGAAGCATGGCCAACATAAGGTCCTCGCGCTGATGGCACGGTGCCCAAGAGCTGAGGGCTTGAACCTTCGAGCTGTGGAAGCTTCGCACAGTGAAACGTTTGGAAGCTCAAGAACCCTTTTACTTGGTTCCCCTTGCAGTCGCCTCATCTGGCTGAAAGGTGTAGCTGTGCAGCCCCTTCGACTTAGAACAAAGCGTAGACACTGGCAGCTGTCTCGTCAGTTTTTGTTTTGTGAAAGCTTGCAGTAGTTGAAGTCTTGATGGGGCATTGGGCAGTTTTGCCTTCTAGCGTGACAGTGGATGTTTTTGCGTTTCAGGTCCGTAGTATGAGAGTGATCTTTGAGGTATGGAGACCACCTTCTAGATTCTGACTGTGCCTGAAAGTCTGCACCACTGAGCATCAGAACTTGATTTCTCTCTCATGCACCCAAGAGTCGGATCCGATCCGCAGTCCTAGAGTCCGCAAGACTCAGACAGGTGACCAGGTCTTGCCTACAGTACGAAGACAAAACGAGGTCTGTGGGGAGCATGACGGGGTATGCCTTTTTGCTTGAGTGAGAGGCGCTGAGACTTCAGCTTCCTTGGGTTTGTCAGTCTGCAGCCTTAATGGTACTCGGATGTATGTGCGAGTCGCGATCAGATGTAGCTCTGCAGCATGGGCCCCGAAAGCTGCAGCAGGAAGACCCTGCTGCTGCATATTGTTTTCTGGGATTTCGGAGGAAACATCACAAGCTTCTTAACGCTGGCCGAGTGCTCACTTCTCCAGCCTCTGCAGGGTGTAAGCTTCGAAGTCTAGGATGTGGGGTGTATCCTTGAGCAGAGCTGTCCATGTAGAGGCGTCCAAATCGGGAACACTGCACCCTGAACCCTAAACCTTGTAAACTGCGAGCCTCAAAGCTGCATAACCCCAACCTGAATGACAAACCCGTCAGCCCTTACTCTGAACCCTAAAGACAGGGAGCTGGCGAGGGAGAGCTCTACCATACGTGCCAGAGCCGTGTGCCGAGACCCCTCTACATTCTGGGAGTAGTAACATCTGCGAGGGATATAAGGTGGTGACCCGGGTTCCTCTGTGGACTGTTGCATGCCATTCTGCTCCAGTACGAGTTGTCGATGTGGGCCGCAGCTTACTCCCCTCGAGAACCGACACAAAGACACCAGGCCGGGATTAGACTAGCATTGGCCATCCAAGCCCACACCGCCGCCGACAAAATTTGATTTCGAACTCCATGTGGGCGATGGGCTGCAGGGGTGGCGGTGGTCCGAACCGTATTCATCACTCGTCGTATTGATTGAAATTTGAAGGGGTTCACAACCCCTCGCTCGAGGGCTGGACCTGTTGGGTGTATGCCAGGTAAGCACCTCTGCGACTCTAGTGTCGCTCTCCGGGTCAGGATGTGCTTGGCCCTCCAGAGATGACCCTCCTAAACCGGAAACCAATCGGGCTTGGAGCTGTGCGAGGGATGTAAATTCTGTAGGTGTACGTGCTTAGGGGCACCATTTGTCGAAGTGGGAGGAGGGTGAACGCTTGCACAATCTACAGGAAGCCGAGCCTCTCCGTGCAGTCCTCTGACATATCTTCCATTTCTCTCATCCTTGCAGTTTGAAGGAAGGTTGAAGTTGCATGTCTTGATTGCAAAGCTGCCAATCAACAGCACGAGTCTGGGAACATTCATCACTCCTCCGTCTCAATCCGAACCGCATCAGCTTGCTTTCTGGTTAGGGTTCTGCCGGGAATTTTGTGAGAAGCTCAGGTGCGGCGTTCTGCTGCTACTCGAGGGTCACAGGGCAATATGCAGCCATGGCCCCAGCCAGATCAGAAAGACATTTGGGTTGACACTGTGTAGTGTAGTCCGACACTGTAGTACCTCTGTAGTTTACGTTAAGTATCCGTACGCAGATCATATGCTGTGTAACAATGCTTGTCAGCTATCCGAAATCCCAGGGTCCGGGCAAGAGACTCGCGAGGCTTGAGGGACGAAGCATCAGAGGTCGTAGCTTTCAAGCTCAACGTGAGGTGTCATCTTTCGGTTCTCGGGTTTGGATTGTAGCCTTTCTTTGGGGCTTCTGGAAAGGAGCCCGGATGAATAGCGGCATAGCGTTTTCGACTGGACCTGTACCGTACTCTCGGAATTTTTTTTGGAAGCACCCAAACTCTCGACTGCCCTGCCCGAAGCGTTCATGTCGTCATATGGTAAAGGGTAGAGCATTGTTGTTCTTGAGGCAGGCGCCTGATGGCTGACGAGGCTCTCCGTCTGGATGGGAAGTGGTTCGGAACGGGAAACACGATCTAAAAGTTGGTCTGAAACCGAACATGGAAGCGAAGATTCACAGGACGTGCGTGCCCAAGTGTTTTGTTCAAGCGTCGAGGTTCCGTGAGAGCAGCTCCGGCAGAACCAGCGTAGGAGAAGCTTGGGCCGCTTCTGGAATAACTTCACCCCCCTGCACAAAAACATGCTATGGATCTTCCGGGGTATGCGCGCAGCGGCCGTGCTCCTTCAGGGCCAGACCTTCTTGCTGATGCTCACTGCCTCGAATACTTGCCTAGAAACGTAGGTGTCCAGGTGTCGTTCTTTTTGAGAATTTTGGAGCCCCAGCCTGCAAATGCCCATTACACGCGAGAACTCTTCCATGAGCTCCAAGATGCAGAGGCTCACGGCTTCTCCCTCGTCAAAAAGGGCTCAATGGAGGGAGCCCAGAGCTGCTCAACTTGGAGTCAAAAAAGTTCGGCACGTGCCTTCAACTTGAAAAGATTGGAGATATCGGCAAAGTTAGCAGGGACGATCTCCGGATGTTTGTGAAAGAAATTCGAGACCGTTTGCTTCATGCTTTCATGCTTTGCAGGCGATAGTAGAAGGCCTTGCTCCTGCGAGAGGGGAGACAACAAGCAGGGTGAGCGGGTAGTCCTTCCATGGACGTGCTTGCAACATCAGTTGAGTTGTGCTGCAGCTTTGACAGCAAGCGTGGCCATGGACACACAAACCAAACTTCGAGCATTAATCCGGAAAGCCAGGAGCTGCTCCCACTCCAGCTCCTGATTCAACATGCCACTACAGATCCCAGACGAACTCCTGGAAGTCCTGAAGGCGGAGGCCCACGCCCCACCCACCCCTTGCCATGGCGGCCACGAGCAGCAACTCGAGGCCTCGAGCCTAAAGCCGCTTTTGGTCGCCCAAGCCGCAGACCCTCTCGAGGCCGCAAGGGGCCGATGTGTCCATCACCGACACGCTGAAGGCCTTCTACGAAGCTAAGGCTTCGGCTAAGGCTTCAGCCCTCCATGACAGAGGATCCTCGATGCTTGCGCTGAAACGCAGCCTGAACCCCACTTCAAAGCTTCAACTCTGGTCCCAGGGCTACTGCGCCACACCGCGCCTGCACAGCGGCCGTCGAATGGGTGTTGTGCTGGTCCGACCCCGAGGTTCCCGAATGTTCGGAGATGAACTGCAAAGGTGCACCTCTTTTCATCTCCGAATATTTCGAAGCAGGTGGGTTTTTCTAGGTTTCCTTTGGAGTTGACGTGCGGCTGATCTTCGAGGCGCTGAGCGCAGAACTCTGATGCCCCCAGCTGCCCAAGACCCCAATGACCCTCCACGACCAGAAAGTCCAAGACCCTTGGAAACTGGATCTCCCAAATCCTTCAAACATCAGTAACACGACCGAAGCAAACTTGAACGCCTCGGAAAGATCTCTCTTGGATGTTGTCCTTGAAAAACGTGATACTTCGTGGCCCAAAGGTTGCCGGATCGGAGGCGATAGAGGTCCGGTTCCTTTGCTGCAGGTTCAGGGTTTAGGTTTAGTTTAGGGTTCCGGATCATTGTTATCCAGTATTTAATAATTTCTCAAGTTTCATAGCCTCCCTTAGAGTAAATAGCAGCCTGTAAAGTACCTCTACAGCTTTCTTGTAGGGGTAAGGTGCCTGGGACCCAGGCAACCACGGCTTTCCTTTCCGTTTTGTTGTGTGGGGTACCTGGGACCCCACACTCCTACTTGTAAAGCCTCCAGCCAGATATTTGTTGGTAGGACCGCAGACCAGCAAGTCGAGAAACTCCCATAGAGCCGCTGAGGCCATGTGCGACTGTTTTTGTCTAAAGGTCGCAACACTTTTTTGCACAACCTAGAGAAAACATTCCTTGGCGTGACTACTGGGGTTCTTTGTGACACCGAAAGACCGCATCAGTGCTCGTTGTTGCAGCTTTTAGCCGAGCCCCAAGCCAAAGCCTCAGTCGCGAGCCCGCATCGCATGGGGACTGTGGACCTGACCCGACATCTAGAGGTTCCAAGCCCGAAGCGCTGGGTACCAATAGCTCCTTAGAGATGAAGAGATCTTGACCATGCCTAGCAAAGGCACGCCGCAGAGCACCTAGCCTCCTGCGGCTTTTCCGGCATTGTGCCAGACTTCGCTGGGCAGGCTTTCAGTGTCACTGCAGCTTCGGCGCTTGGGTTCCCAAGATGTCTGGCTCGCTGAGTGGGCTCTTGACATGACGCTCAGAATCAAGCAGCACCGCTTTCGGGTCCAGAGGTGAAGTCTGCGCAGTCGTTACTCATATGGTTGATGGTGTCTGATAGTGATGATGAGACGATGGCAATGTCATCTTTCGTACTCGGACCAAAGGATCGGCGGAGGTGCGACGGTTTGGGCCTGACCTGCATGCTTGCGGCCCTCGAGTTTCTCCGTCGGCATCCTGCCGCGGACTGCAGACCCAAATGCTTGAATCCATCCCAAAACACGCATCTAAATTCATCAAGCTGCTAGACAGTCTTTCAAGACCAACTTCAGCATCGGTGATTCGATGGCGGAGCAGAGGACAAATCAGAAACCCTTCTCGACCCCACTCGCGCATCTTCGCACCGCGCAGATCGATTCGGGGGCTTCCACCGGCAGCAGCTCCGAAAAGGACTTGCCGTCCTTCATCAGGAAGACTTTGTGCAGGGACTCACCGAAGAGGTAGCACGGGATAGAGTGCTCTAGGGATTTTGGCTTCCGGAGCTGGTGCAGAACCCGGAATCATCCGCGAACATTAAGGACCCCAAGCCACTGCCCATCCGAAGTCCTCAAGCCCATCGCCTTGGACGACATACCAGATATGTTGCGTGTTAAACTGTACGTGGAATCATGATCATGGGCAGATCTGCTCTGATAGTGGCGAGTCTCGATGACTGCCAGACTGTGGAGTTGCAAATTTCTGGAAGCCTGTTGCTCTTGCAGGCTCAGCGGGTTTTCCCACCTTGCCATAAAGATCGTTGCAGCTGCCAGTGCACCGAACTCGAAGCCCTGCAGGCCCAAGGCCATACGATCCCGGAAGCCAACAGCTTCAAGCTCGACTCTACGTCACAGCCCAGACCTAACCGAGCTGCAGCAGTCCCGAAATTCCAAGCTTCCAGCCCGAAGATTGGGATAGGCTTCTGGGCTAGTGCCTGCGAAGTTAGGACTAGGGTATAAAGGCCCAAAGCTCAGCCATGGCGGACGATCTCGAGTACCAACGCGCCAGCTCCGATTCTGAGTTTCGGGACCGTGCAGAGTTCGGCTATGCCGGAATCGCACGGATGCTGGTGCTGTGCGGGCGACGTGGCCGGTTTAGGAGGATTCTGGGATCCGCTTGTAAATTTTGGGGCCTGTCGATTCTTTTCGATTCTAGCTTTTCCGGGGTGTGGCAGCGGCGGATCTGTAGTATTGACCGATGCCAAGGTCAAGTCATGGGTGTTTGTTTTTGTTAGCGGCATCATAGCTTGTGTTTTTAACATCCGGATTCTAAAGGCGTGAAGTTTTGCTTCTAAGTGTGATTTGCGTACACACCGATTTCACGTCGTGACTGTGCTGACAGCTCAAAGCCCTCGCCAAGCCACAGATCGGTAAGACTATGCGATTCTTGCGTGGAGTGTAAAGAGTTATGAGGCCATTGTCAGTTTGGCTGCAAAGTAAGCATTGTACGCGGCTTTTACGCCGCGGCAGTTCCGCAGCTCCCGCTGTGGTGCAGTGCACATGTTGACGAACATCTCGTTTCCGCGATTCCGAGTTCACTGCACAATCCAATACTTTAGCGTTTACGAACTTGATGAATCGCGTTGCTTTTTGTTGTTTGTGTGGATAGTTGTGTTTTTCTTCAAACAACTAATCCAAGTTTTGCAGCCATAGCAGCACGGCACTCCTCCGTGCGGTCTCGAGATTGCACTGAAAATTGTCTTCTCATTACAGCGTCGCCCGCGTCCGCATGAAAAATCGGGCTCCCGCCACAGTGTCATGCATTTTGATGCACATCTTGGGGTGCAGGCTCTCGATCCACAAATACCTAGAGATTGTGAACTCTAAGACCTGCAACCCAACAGACTATATAGAGCCAGGAAGCCTCGTGTATCAAAGAGCACAGCAAACGAAGCCATGCAGGCTGGGCAGTGTCCTCACGCTCTTGGCCGTGCACGCTGGGCCAGGGGAGGCCGCCCCCCAGGACAGGGCGGCTCGGGCGGTTTTTGGGTTTAGGGCTGCTGTTCGGGGTTTTCGGGTTTGGGATTGGGAGTTGGTCTTGTGAGGTTCCGCGAGGTTTAGTTGGCATCCGATAGCTTCGCCGAGTGTCGTAGCGTGTTGCAGTGTTGAAGAAATGATAAGCTTTTCGCGTCTCGATGATCATGAATCCGCCGTTTTTGCTTCTCACAGAGATATGGATACTTTATTCAGGGCTTGAAGTTGGAGTTTGGTTCTGAGGTCTGTGGCCTGGCGTTGTTGGGTGTGGATTCTACGCTTCGACATGTCGTGTGTTGTCGCAATCAAGGTCTGCGGTTTACGAGGCACCGCTTTGTTTTCGAGGTTTCAGCTTCGGTTCTGGGAGGCTCTTGGAGACAAAAAGAATGTTGGCGTTGTCCGTTATCGGCACTGTCCGCCGTGATGGTGGAGAACCCACCGGAGCGATCTTGCTTTCTGCAGACTTGCACAGCTCCCCGAGTGGTAAGCATCCCTTGTTCCTGAGAGTGTTCAATCTCCCACTGAACCTTCGAGTCCTTGCTCAGCTTGACTGGATTCCTAGATTCCTGAGCCCCCCAAACCCTGCCGACCCTGCACCTCAACGTTCCAGGCCAATCTGATGTTCGCCTTGGAGCCGCTCGGTCAGGGAGCCTCCGTAAGCCGGAGTCTCCTGGAGTGCTAAATTCCAAGAATCGAGGATTCAAGCCGTGTCTGGGGATCATCTCGAGCTTCAGGCTCACCGCTTCTAGTCTCGCACTCCGTTTTTTTTTGTTTTAGCCTTCTTTCAGTCACCTGAAACAGCTCCAAATCCGTGGCCCCGAAGAAAGTGACAGGAGAAGCACAAGTCTTATAAGTACTGAGGACGGCAAGTCGACAGTGCTGATCATGAAGTGATATCGATCGCATTGAGGATGTCCCTGCTCATGGTGATGATGAAGAGGAAGAAGAGGGGTGACGATTGAGGTGGTGATGCACGTCATTATCATCATCACTGTCATCATCCTGTCTCATCTTCGTGCGAGCGCTTGTTAACCGCGGTACTCTGGCTACTCCAGTACCCTAGTAACTCAGAGGATCCCCTGAGCCTAGGAGGGACCCTCTTGGCGGGCCCGGATCGCCACTCTCGAAGCAGGCGGAAAAGATCAGAGGATTGGGAACGGCTTTCGACGGTTCGGGCTAAAATCGGGCCCAGGGTTGGGGTTTGAAGGATTTGCAAGCTGGTGTTGAGTCAGCGTAAGCCGTTGGGTGGATGCCTCCCAGAATCTGGGTAGTGTCAGTGGTTGTGAAGAACGACCGGCACAAGAACCACAACAGTCGCAACAACCACAACAGCTGCAAAACACAACGGCCACAACTAATCCCTGCTAGATGTTCGACCCAGAGGCCCTCAACCTCTCAAGCCCCCAACTCCCTCAGCTATATCTGACTTTAAACTGTCAAGCCTCAATCGTCTTAAGCCTGGACACCCTTGCACTATCTGCAAGCCTTGGTCCTGAGCAGGCCGAAAGGTGAAACTTTGACAGCAGGACGAACCGTCTGGGATTGTAACCAGCAGAATTGTGCAGGTTGTCTTGGCGATGGACGCCAACGTCAACCTGCATGTGGCCAGGGAGCTTAGCTTTGGTGGCAATATCTGAATTATGTCTCAGTCGCCTGCATGGTGAGTATATGCACGTGCGAACAAGCACCTGTGTGCAGTGAGTGACTGTAAGTCAGTCTGTCGACTTATATGCACTTATGCATTGTCAGTAAGGGTATCTCGCGGCTCCAAGTATTCATCTACAATGATAGGTTCGGATGAACGGGTATGGTTGCTGACGCATTCATCTATCTCAACACAGGGCATGTGAGCAGATATGTCGATAGGGTGGAACACAGCGTCAGTAAGGGCACGCACAGGTTTGTCGATGAGTTCATAGGATGGGCATGGGGCAATTTCACGAAGATATGGGCACAACAATAGACAGACCTGCAGAAAACCAGGAGCATAGACGGATAGACAGATCGTGGGATAGATAGGTAGATAGATGGAAGCGAGACAGCGGACAAAGGAAGTCAGGTGGCTGGACCGATGGACATATAGACAGATCGATAGACAGCTAGATAGATAGAAAGATAGGTGCATAGTTTCAGGCAGAGGCGGCAGTCTTGGTAGTAGTAGTAGTAGTAGTAGTAGTAGAGTAGTAGAAGTAGCAAGCAGTGGGATTAGTAGTAGTAGTAGTAGTAGTAGTAGTAGAAGTAGTAGTAGTAGTAGTAGTAGTAGTAGTAGTCGTCGTCGTCGCAGTAGTAATAGTAGTAGGTAGTAGGTAGTAGATAGTAGGTAGTAGGTAGTAGGTAGTAGGTCGTAGGTCGTAGGTCGTAGGTCGTAGGTCGTAGGTCGTAGGTCGTAGGTAGTAGGTCGTAGGTAGCAGGTAGCCAGGTAGCAGGTAGCAGGTAGCAGGTAGCAGGTAGTAGGTCGTAGGTCGTAGGTAATAGGCAATAGGTAGTAGGTGGTAGGTAGCAGGTAGTGGGTAGTTGGTAGTTAGTAGTTAGTAG